CTTCCCTTTCAAAAGTTATATCTCCCTTTTTCGCTCATTTTCTAATTGATGACTGTTTCGCTAGATAAAGCAGATAAATAAAACAAAATAAACAAAAATGTTTAAAATCAGTGGGAAATATAGAAATTCGCCCCTATACTTTAACTAGATTAGTCATTGACTATGGTTGCAAGATCCTTTGGAGTATTGTAAGCGTTCTAAACCCATCCAATTCTTTCTCTACATGTGTGCTGTTAATAATTGCCATAATACTGGCCTACAAGACTGCCTCATCCATAAATGAGTCTGAACCCTTGCCAAAGGTGAGAGATTTACAAGACAATATAGTCAGCGAGGTCAGCCTTTTCTAAAACAGATTATTTTTCATCCAGTTTCCAGCCAAAAGCCACAAATACACAATTAATCTGTCTAATACAGTAGTTAACTGTTACTTACCCATTCACTAACCTTATCTTTAAGATTATTCTGTCGTTCTGCTTTAATAGTTAATGCATAAAGTGGTGCTCTGTTCTCAGAATACATTCTTTTAATATAGTATGTTGCCAGAAAGCGATCACTTTGCTGGAAATCAGGGCATTCAATTTCCTCCACATAAAATTATGTTCCCTCTAAGACTATCACTCAATCATGTGTCCAGCTGGGCCAGTTCCCACTCTGAAACCTATTACTGCAACTCACACTGTGGGTGCTGTTAGCTTTATTTAAATAGGATGAATTATCTGGCACTAAAGAAAGATTTTTTCATCAGTCTTAACAAAGGGATTGTATTGGATCCAGGAATATTATTTGCTTCTATATAGTCTAATTTTCTCATTTTAGAAAAGTCTTCATTTCAGTTTTCCCTGGAAGATAACTGTCCAATCGCTAAACACGTGGGCGTGAGGGAAGATGCATCAGCTCACTGCAGACTATTCTACACCAGCAGGAGTAAATCCATACCTTGGGATGTGTCTGAGCAAAAAGTTACAGATGATTCTGGAGCTCGTACCACACTCTGTGGGCAGAGACATAAATAGAACCTCCATCAGAAGAATGTAACCCATATACATCTACCAAACGCTCAGCTAAATAGATCTGATAACTTTATTACAGCTACAAAAACTTGCATTTACTTAGTGTTCTTCACGTAAGGTAATGTTTCTGAACACTATACAAAGATGGGATCAGATGCCAAGCAAGGGAGAGGGAGAGAGAGAGTGCGGAAGGAAATGGTGATAGGCATGGTCAAAGAGGTAGGTTTTAAGGCGGGTCTTCAAGATAGATAGAGAAGGGTTGAAATGGAGGAGTAGAGAGAGGATGATCCAGAGGTCAGGGGCACTGATGGTGGCATGGAGAGGGAGGGAATGTACAGCAAACCCAAGTTTGCTGAGTGAAGAGGCTGAGCAGAGGAGTTGGGTAGATCATGTAAGATGGTGCTAGGGCATGAAGGAATTATTGGTGAGTGTGCGTATCTTGAAATGAATCCATTGGGAAGCCAGTGGAGTGTGGTGAAGATAGGGTGAGAATTCGGTGAGGATGAGGATGTTGGCTACGGATTTTGGATAACTTGAAACTTATGGTTAGAGCTTATTGCTAACCAAGTAAGAATTCTGGTTTATAATATGTTCACATGATCCCAAAACACAGATATTACTCATTTCCACAAAAAACATGATAAATTGAAAGGATTTCAGATCAAACCATAAAGTATTCACAATAATTTGGGCAGATTTGGGGGGATTTAAATCTTCATCCACATTTCACTGCACTATAACCAATTGCCTATGAATCCCCAGATCTCATATTCTCCTTACTCCCAACCCCTCTTCTTACAACAAGCATAGCCAATAAAAAACTCTCCACTGTGTGGAAATACTTTCCAATCAAGATCCCTTAAGAAGTACCTTTAAAGCTTAATATTGTCCTCCCTGAACTCAGCAACAGATAAAAGTTAATACATGTATTACATTCACAATGGCTCAGTCAAAAGACAGGCATTTGGTTCAAAGAATGAAATGGAAATCAGAAACTCATACTATCCATGAACTCTACCGCAGGCCCAAACCGTTTGCCTGCTTAATTGATAGAAAGGTAACTATCAAATCCTATTCAGGGGTATCTTTAAGCCTGCCTGAGCACTTGTGAGGAGGTGAAGCAAGGAATCACTGTAAAATCGGGTGCCCATGTCACATTTTCATGAAATTGAATTTACAACTTGGGAAAGTGACTGATGTTTCTTGTTCAGCCAAATAGCTATGGATAGGTTTTTACCAACATTCATACTGTAGTTATTTTGTACAAAGTTGAATATCTGTTGCTCAGTTTTGCATCGCAAAAGGATTGGCATATTTTATCTGAATTGTATCCATTTCCTATAATTTCATAACATTTTTATAATTTTTATTTTCATTATTTTTACTCAGAAACTTTTTTTTCATTCCCATCATCAACACAAGGTCTCAACTAGTCTATTGATTTACTGTTGATTTGATGAGGTTTTAAGTCCCACAGAAATACGTTAAATAGATGGAACATCACAACAAGAGTTCACTGAAAACTTACTGTGAAAAAAATGAAATGCTTTAACAAGTAAGAATAATTATTAATTCTGAAATTAAACCAAAGAATGTTAAAAAAAAGTAAGAAATCCATGCAGTGTAATTGTGTGTTCCTACTGCATGTCCGGAACCCAGACAGATATTCATTCACAAAGGAAGCACATTAGTTTGCTTAATCACGTGGTAAGGATGTAACATCTGTCAGTACTATGCTATAACTCATTCATCAGCAACTGCAGTCCTGTATCCCAGAACCCTGCAATTCTGGAATAAAACCAGACTGAATTCATTGCCTTCTTTATCTGTCACATTACATGTTTTGTGTTGTACATTGTAAACTGCAGCAAAAAAAAACAACCATTTCAGATTTGTAAGCATTTCTCTATTTTTTTCTATGTATTTTGCATTTATCAAAATGATGGATGTTAATGCTGAAGAATAGAACATTTGTCTACTTTTGTATCTAGAGACAGAACATCTTATAAGCTACTGCATATGTGGGAAGGAAAATGCTTCTTCTATACTGTCACAGTAATGCTGTAACTCCTTCTGCCCCTTAAACTAGAATTATTGCTCTGCATTCACACCGGTAAAATCATAAATGTGGCATAACATTTCTACTAATCCTTTATTATTTTAATCATTCCAATTCTTTCAAGACAATGTAGTAGACAGTTGTGGATTTGCACTATGTGTATGTGTGTTTGTGTGTCCACAACTAAAGCTTTAACAATCAAACACAACACCAGGAATGCTCTGCATTTTATTTAATGACAGTACAGTGTCCCAGTGTCCGCTGACCAGATTATAATTGTTTGGGCCTCTTCCAAAATTGTAGCATCAAAATACACATGTAATAATAATAATAATAATAATCCTTGCATTTAATACAGCGCTTTTCACGTCGGGAGGACATCCCAAAGCGCTTCACAGAACACACTGTAAAGTGAATTGACTATATATTTGTGGGCGAACGCAGCAGCCAATTGCGCACAGCAATGTCCCACAAACAGTCATGGATTGAAAATGGCCAATTTATTATTGTTTTTAGTTTTTGGAGGGATTATTAAGACCCTAGTTAACCTCGGGCACTAGTTAATTCGGACAAAATGCCCACCCCCTATGTATCCGCCTTAAGCGGCTTCCCTTGTAAAAACATGATCAAAATAGTCAAGAATACATCGGTAAATGTTTCATGCGTCATTCATCCTTTATGATTCGGATTGCTACATAATTTTGCAAAATAATAAAGCTGATATTTTGGCCAAATAACTTAAGACAACTGACCAATTTTGTTGATCTAGTACCTTGATAATCCCACACCAAGCTTATGAATGCAGGTTCTTATCGAAAATCACTTTAAAAAAATCATGCTTTCAGGTAGACTGATAAATGGCTTCTGGAGCAACTACCTATTAGGTATAAAGTACCATGTACACTGTTCAGAGTTATCAATAACTTTAAAAAAAGGTATCAACAAAGCCTCCTGATCCACCACTTGTGGCTGTACACAAAGTAACGTTGAAAAATACACTACATTTGAAGATACCTTACTAAACATAGCAACATAAAATATGACACTCCTAAAACCCAATATAAAAATGTTTGTGGTTTACATATTTAAGTAGATAGATCCAGGTCTATGATTGCAGAATAAAAATGGTAGGCATTTTAAGATGGAGACATTTTGCTAAGGCAACAGGCAGGCATTTTTGAAATTCCACTCCAGTATTGGCTAAAGTGCCATTTAATAAGACATTTTAAAGGCTATTAAGAATAATTATGATACAAAACCCAGAAATATCATGACCTTCAAAGGGATTCAATTTTGATCAGAACTAAAAAAAAGTACTGGTTTAAAAGATCAATAGCCTAATTACAGAAAACAGGCAAACATGTCACACAACCTATTCCTTTCCAGTACTCAAGCTATGTAAAAGTGTTTGCCATTTATACAAATTTGTTAAACTGACAGATAACAAACAACAACCAAATGTCTAATTCTAAGTCACCCGTTTCCCTGTAACCTAAAAAAGAAAATTTGAAATTCAAAGGAGACAAAACGCAAATGTTTTTCAATTCAAAGAGTGGAAAAAAACCTTTGCCAGCAATTAGCAAACTTTTGTTTTTTATTTCTGACTACTCTAGTCTTGACAGCTATTGTAAACCAAAAGCATCTTTGTTGAGCTCACAGATAGTAATGCAGTAAAGAGACCCAGTTTAGAGGTAATTTTGATGTGGCCCACATAACCACATAAAAATATCTTCCAGCAAAGACAGTTTCCAGCAAAGATCAGTAACAAATTGATTTGCTTTACCTGTAATATTTATAGATCTAGGCCAAGTATTCGTGTTTTCAATGGCACTCTTTCGTAAGCACAAGATGAAAAAGATTTTTACAAACTGGAATGCATATAATAAGATTGACAATTATTATCTTTTATAAAGCTGCAAGTGATGCACTTAGAAAATATAGTCCTTTGTAATCTTAAGTGATGGCATGGCATCATGTACATTTTGGTCCAACCGCTGATATTCAACTGCCCTCGAGCAAAGACCATCCTTCCATCGTTTACTTTGGACTAGGAGAATGTAAATCTTTCTTTTGTTGTGGTAGGTGATGTAAATGATGGCAACCAGAAAGGCAGCTACAACCAGATAAAAAAAGAAATGACTGTCGTCTTCTTCTGGTGCAGAAATGGATATTGGTGTATCGGGCAGCTCCAGTGATTCCTCTATATCGCTGGAGTCCATGTCATCCTCGTCATCCTCATCCATTTGGCTTTGATCATAATAATCCACTGGATTACTATCATCCATTCCTTTGTCCAGGTTAGAATCATAGTAAGCCTCGGATTCATCATCCAAACTCACAGGAATCAACTCTTCAGTCATTTCATCTATCTTTGTTGGATCATCATTGGGTGTTACGGGAAGTTCTTCTTCATCGGCATTACCTGCATCGATCATAGTCACAGTTGTACTTTCTCTCTCTACTGCAGTGCTTCCTTTCACAGTTGATGCCTTGTCAGCATCTTTTTCTAATGTAATAGGTGTTTCGTTAGCTTTATGATCAACACTCTGCATAGTATTCTTGTTTTTGGTGCTGAGATTCAGTGCTGTAGAAGACCGTGGAGTGGGTTTAATATTAATGGTAGTAATGACAGTACTGTCAATTACGTGACTTGAAGATGAATTGATTTGCTCGAAAGTATCGATTGTAGTATTATCTTTCGCATTGTTCGACGTGTGACTTGAAGAAGTCAGGTTCACAACAGTTTCGTTCGAGGTCTGACAGGCAACCACTGCGACGACAACAGTGAAGCAGAAGCCGCTCCAGGCCCCGACCTCCATCTTCACACCGCATGAGCTCCAGTTGTGTATATGTAGACATATACACAACCATGTATCTGGCTGCACATACATGATGGTATTTTAAATTTTGAAGAAAGCAGGTTTCCCAGTTTATACATATATCTTTGTAGCCAACACAAATCTGGCCAGCATAATTGAGGCAAAGGCAATGAATAAAGACCTTCAATATTTAAACTTGATTCAACGATGTAATATGGGAAATATGGGATCAACCTTCTGCGCTTTTGCTCCAGCGTCCGGCACAGATGGCAGATAATCCTAAATAGGATTAGAGTTAGGGTTAGGGTTGGTCAAGAGTACTTTACTCCATAACCTGCTTGTATATCTTTCACCACCAATTGATTGAGTTTTGGTTTCAAACAATGCCCTTGTGTGAGGTTTGCAATAATATTAGTAATAATAATCTTTACATTTGATATTTCACCTTTCCCATTGGGAGGACACCCCAAAGAGCTTCACAGGATATACTGTAAAGTGCAGTAGTTGTTTGTTTTATGGGTGAACGCGGCAGCTGATTTGCACACAACAATGTACTACAAATAGCCATGAAGTAAATGATTAGTTGTATTGGATGATTGTTGGCGAGGACACTAGGAGAAACTTCCACCTTTTTTCGAATAGTACCAGGGGATTTTTAACATTCACCTGAACAGACAGATGGAGCCTTAGTTCAGTATCACATCTGATGGATGCCATCTCCAACAATGCAGCCATCGCCGAGCGCTGCACTGGAGTATCATCCTAGACTATATGAATTCCAAGTTCCGAAATGGGGCTTGACCAATAACCTTCTGACTCAGAGGCAAGAGTGAGACCAACTGAGCCAGGCTGACATGAGGTACCCTAATATTGCACAACAAGGCATTTTCTCAAATCTATTTTCTTCCCTGTTCTTCAGAATGTTCCTCTAAGTCTTTGTCTTTAAGTCGTCAGATGATGTATTCAGATGGTTCCATTCTTGCAACCTATCTTTTGAAAGGGAGTGAATTTACGTTTGCAATATGCTGTGACTTCTCTCAGTTCTGCTCAACCTATTTCTGGATCAGTTAGTCATTATCATTGAAAACCAAGGACAGGTCTCCTCCTGTCCAGTTAGGCTAAGGTGTCTATCAATAAGTGCTTGTTCAGTCTACCCTGAAAAGATACAAGCAGCCACATTAGAAATGGTGCCATTTCTTGAATCATTTGACATTATCTGTAAACCTATAAATCTATGATACCTGGGCCAGACGCGAGATTTGTGCCTGGTACCAAACTAATTGGAGCCTGTCTGTATGAACCTGTAAATATACCGTCTTGAAAGGTCGTAAACTAAAGCAGAAAAAAAAGGAATTCCTTTTTGCAAGGAATGTACAGAGTACTCATGCGCACACACCCTCAACAAGCTTGTTAAGACATGCACATGTAAATTTTCTTCAATCAAAAACAAGACAATTTTGAGAATACTTTAGTCCTTCCTATCTAAATGTATTCCAAAAGTTACCTACATAACTCTTACAGAGTAAGATGGAAATTGGAGAACAAGATACATTGATCAGAGTTCAGGCACTCGACACCAGTGAGCTATTTCACACATCAGCCACCTTTATGGCTTGGGAGTGACTGCCAATTAATGTCAATTAGTGCCAAATTATGAGATTTTTTTACAGTGTGCACTTAAATGTTTGGAGGTTTTAAAAATATTTTCATCTTCTGGGCACACATTATTGTTGAGTCTGACATTCCTTCCTTCTCTATAAATAATGGGTTTAGTGCTAATAGTCAGTAATGGTTATCAAGGTTGTAGGAGTTATTTTTTACTTGAATGTTAAGAGAGTGTTGATCGATGTTCGAAGAATGCAGAATATTACTAAGGAAACTACCTACATCATTTGAGACAATGGGATAAAGCTTCTAGCAATTCATAGCATCTTCTTTGTGTTAATGATGAAATGCTGCAAACTTTACCTCAATAATGCATTGCGATTTCTGTTTTTTCTACTTACAGGAAGTTGGCTCAGTTGGTAGCATTCGCCGCCCGCATTCTCACCTGCAATAAACTTTGCAACCCGATTACCCCAGGAATCCTCCATTCCACCATTGGCGGCCATGCCTCAGCCACTACACCCCAAAGTTATGAAACTCCCTCCCTCAGTCCCTTTGCCCCCTCTTTCCCCATTTCCAGGTTGCGCTTGAAGAACTTCCTCTTCGACCGTGCCTATGGTCACCTTCCCCCTCCCTCTGGCTTGGCATCAAGCTCCACCATTGTTAAGCGTTCTAGGATACTGCCCGGCATTAAGGGCATTATATAAGTTGTTGTTGTTTATGTGATAAGGTACTATATCAAATGCAGGTATTACAATTAATATTATGCATTATTAATAATAATACATATTATTATTATTAATAATATTGATGAATAGGCCATAATAATAATAATAATCCTTGCATTTGATATAGCGCTTTTCACGTCGGGAGGACGTCCCAAAGCGCTTCACAGAACACACTGTAAAGTGAATTGACTGTATATTTGTGGGTGAACGCACAGCAATGTCCCGCAAACAGTCGTAGATTGAAAATGACCAATTTATTATTGCTTTGTTTTGGATGGATTATTATTAGGCGTGTGGAGTATGGAAACTTGCGCAAGGTTTCGCCCTGCCTGGCATTGAACTCAGGTCTCTCGCTTGCAAAGCGAGTGCTCTAACCACTGAGCTACAGGACTCCAATAAATCCAGTAGTCATCTGACTGATACCAGGAAAGTGGGAACAGGGTTTCATGTTGTCTGCATCTTGGCAACTGGCAAGTTCAGGGAATCAGACAACCATCTTGATATAACAGCAGTTATACCAGTACTTTGGTATCACTCTCTGTGATAGAGAACAGAAGGTACAACAAAATCACCCAGCTGTGAATCCATGTGGAACACATCCTCTATATTTAAATTACTTTTGATTAACTGAATACCTAAACACGTGCCTTCTGATTTTACTTTGGAAGAAAGAATCCTCAGTGTATAGACCACAAGAAGTTAAAATAGACTTTGCAGACTTTTTCTCTGTATTGATGTCAATGATGGTAGCTGGTCTTTCCTGAAGTTGTGAGATTGTGCTTCTCTCTATTTTCTTTTAGGTGGCATGCATGAGACAACCCTAACAATAGCCCACAAGGAGACATGTCTTCAGCTTCGTAGACTGACAGTGGATTTGTGTTTTGCTGTTAAAGTATGCAAAGGTCAATGGAGGTCAAATACCTGTGCCATTTACTACAGCTACGATGTTGTGCAATGGAAATAATGGCTATTGATGATTAAACTTCAGGTTAGACATCCTAGGTTTGCTCAATAAATGCCTAAATCCCTTCTGCTCTGATATAATAATAATAATAATCCTTGCATTTGATAAAACCGCTTTCACTCCTTCTAGACGCCTCAATGCTAGGCTGACGCCTGATGTTGAGATGCACTGAATTAAATACAGTCAAACCTGTGCAAGGAACCACCTCCATTCGATAACCACCCTCGGTTAACAATAATAATAATCCTTGCATTTGATATACCGCTTTTCACGTCTTCTAGACGTCTCAAAGCACTTCACAGAATATGCTGTAAAGTGAATTGACCATATATTTGTGGGCAAAATGCAGCAGTCAATGCACACTGCAGTGTCCCACAAACAGTCGTGGATTGAAAATGACCAATTTATTATTGTTTTGGAGGGATTATTATTAGGCATATGGGGTAAGTAAACTTGCCTACGGTTTTGCCCTGCTTTGCGTGGTGCACATCCACAGATATGAAGAGACATCAAGGGACCATTTTGTAAGGAGGCACATGGTCAAGATGCCTGGCTTGATGTTATTTCCTGCCCAGGAAATGAAGTTAAGAACAACCATCTTTACTATGCTTCTACCTTACAATCCGGTTTACAACTTTAGAACTACAGTACCATATACACCTATATTCATATACATATACACACCAACTATGTGTCTTTTGTTTCTTGATGTTACTACTGTAAGCATAACTGTTCAATATATATTTATATATGGTTTGTGAGGTTGGTAACGCTACTGGAGAACATCTCACACCCAAAGGGCAGAATGCAAGCTAATGTAATGACTTTATTGACTCTTGTGTCTGCTGCATTAAAAGATTGCCACATTGAATCAATATTTGTTGTGTTTCTGATAGGCTGGGGTGGGATTCATTGCCAGCTACAAGCATCTGTTCCACAGCTGTTATGAGAAGAGTTGTGGTACTTTAAATGATGCACTGGGTTGGACACAGTCTGAGAATGTACCTATTCCCCCTAAATGCACTCGCCCATCACATCATAATGTGGATATTCCGAGTTTGCACGATTTTCTGGTTTGACAACCTGCCGTGGCATGTCTGCTATGGATAATAGGCCCTAGATTTGAATGCCCGATGGACCAGCCACTTATCAAATGCTGTGTTCAGTACAGTACGGCAGCCTTAGAATATGGCTGCACTCTCCTTCCAGTACTAACAATGTCTATCCTGCCCTTTCCTCTCGAGGCCACAAGCATAATCCTGTTAACTACTACCCAGCACCTCCTCCACACCCCCTCTCAAGCACCCCCGATCCTCATTTCAGATGCCACCCAACACTCCTTTGCCCCAATCACTCCCTCCTCCCTTTCCCCTATCATCACCCACCTGCTGCCTTGACCCCATCCCCACCCAGCTTCTGGTCACTCAACTCCCCCTCCTCTGCCTATTGCTGGGAGACACAACAACCAGTCCATCTCTCATGCTCTGTGCCACTTCCCCTTAAAACCGCATGGGCTGCCGCATTTCACCCACAAACATAGACAGTCAATTCACTTTACACCATATTCTGTGAAGCGCTTTGAGACGTCTAGAAGACGTGATAAGGTGCTGTATCAAATGCAAGGATTATTATTTTAGACTACTCTGCATTCTGTGGAAGCTGCAAAATTTGACTCTGACGATAGACTTCGAGGCCTCTCATCA